TTGTTTCAAGGACATTAAACTGATAATCGTATTATAAAATATATTAATATCGTGAACAATCGAATTTATATTCGCAAGAGATTCTGAACTAATTTCTGAACGTTCGATTTTCTCTTTAATGCATCGTAAAATACACTTTAATTCACTGTATAAGGACTGTGCATCTCTTAATTTTTGTTGAGCTGTTTCAGAGCTTTCCCTTCTGATGGGACCAATTTTTACTAAATAGCTCTTAATGTCTTTTAATTCATTAAATATTTTTTTTAAGTCCGACAAAGTCATAGCAAGTTATGTATGTGAATAAAAATAAAAAGAATAAGTTCTTAACCATAATTAACACTACCATGGCGAAAAGATTACTCTAAAACACACAAATAATTATAATCTAATATTTAAAATTATTTTAAAAGGATATGGCGCCGTTATGTTGATATTCGAATACGCTGCGCTTGGGTTCCCACGGTGATCGCGGTGTCATCTTACGCGTGGCACGTTGTCGGTAGCGATGCTCTGGTTGGGGCTGCGGGTCACGTGGCTGCTGGGCCGGGCTATACCCTGGACACCGATCCTCTGGAAACCTGCTGGGCCGGGCTATACCCTGGACACCGATCCTTTGGATACTGGGCTGCTGTTTACACTGCCGATGTAGTCAAATCTTGACGAGATATGGTGCTTACGGTGACGGCGTTAAGTTCTCTTCTTAATGTCTTTATAGCGCTTTTTTGACACTTCTTGAAAATGATGTAAAAAATGCTCGATGACGCAATAACGACGAGTACGATCAGCAGAATCTCCGATGCGTTGACGGATCCATGTTTCTGGCTGGTAGTGGCTTCAGCTGCTCCGTTGGCGTTTTGGGCGATTACAACTTCCTCTTTCGAGTAGCTTTTTCCCATCTTCTAAAAAAAATTTTTCCAAAGTGTTTGTGCAGGAACTGGCAGGGTCGCCATCCAATACTTTGGTTTCTTGTTGTATTAAATAAAAAACGTGTTGCTTGTATGACGGAGGTTTATTGAGTGCGCACATCAATTGAAATTAACATTGTACATAATTTTAACAGAATAAGCATAACGTGAGTTACTTATGTACGTAAACAGTGAGAAATAACACAAGTTCAGTTTAGTATGCTATCTATGCATTAACATTTACGTGTGTGCTTATTACACACACTTCAAAGAAATATGCCTTCATCGATACATTTATTAAAAAGGAAAAATATAGTTGAAAAGAAAAAGATGGCATTATTATTTCATAAGTTGAAACGCCCCATACATCTTGGATTTTTTTTAACATTAATAGAATTAAACATTTGATAAACGATTCAGTCGTTGTCAACATGTCAAGAATAAAATTAATTATTTCTCTTGTCAACAACAGATTCTAGAAGAATAGTTGCAAGTGTAGAACATGAATTAGGATTTCTAGTGATTTCTATCGGTGCTTTAGAAAATAATTTCTCACATGTATATCTGTAACCGCTTCATCTTAATGACTATGTGCTCATAATTAAATTTATTTTTCTCCGTGTCTTGATTTATGACATACAGGGTAGTTTTCTTTTAATTTCTGAAAAGTTAATTTTATCGTATATATTTGTTTTTGCTAAAACACATATATTCCTTAACAATTTAAACAATTTTTGAAATATTGTATAAGCTTTGGATCAATCCAGATACACTTTAGTTCCCCTTTTTCTGTTATGTGCTTTAAGCTAATATAAATCGTACAGCCTACTTACATGTGTAGATTCCAGGAGAAGCCCAATCACTAATTATCTTCTTTTAGTTACTAAAGTCAATTATTTTGAGTTTAAAAGGTTTTATCAGATTCCCCCTTTATCAAATTAAAAAAATATATACATCTTTATAGCTTTAGATTAGCAGAAACACTGTTTTTAATTTATCTTATAAATTTTAGTGTAATAGGAACACAAATTATAATGCATTTAAGAGTAACATGGCGGTGCTTGAGAGATGCTAGAACTATGCTATGGCTAGATCAAATAATAGGGGTAAAGTATGTAATTTCCGATTTGTACTGAAAATCAAATTTGTTTATTTTTAACAAATTTATTTAATCAAAATAGTTACCATTATTAGCTATACATTGCTGCCATCTAATAGACAGGTCATTTATGCCTTTGCGATAGAACTCTGAGGATCTAGACTGCACAAACTGTGTGACTCCTGGGAAGAAAACTTCTTGTCACGTAGATAATTGTCCAAATCACGAAAAAAATGGTAGTCCGTTGGAGCAAGGTCTGGCAAATACAGAGGATGACGAATGGTTTCTATTGCAGTTCCTGAAGGGTCAAAACGATTTCTCGTGCTGTATGAGGTATTAATTCATGAATTCGGGCTAATTTACTGCTTTGCTAACATTGTATGGAGTTCGGCACAATAGATGTGCCGTTATTGTTTGACCAGATCGGAGAAAACTATAGTGAATAACACCATGCTGAGAACACCAAACAGTTACTATTACCTTTTTATTGGTAAGTTTTGCTTTAGGACACTATTGTGGTGTTTGACCTGGGGTCAGCCATTGCATTTTTCTTCTACGGTTATCATAAATAATCCACTTTTCGTCACATGTCACAATTCGATCCAATATTCCTTAATTTCTGTACCGATTCAACAAGGCAACACAAGTTTCAACACGCATTTCATTCTGCAGATCAGTCAAATCATGAGGCACCATTTTCCGTATTTTTTATTGTGTTGATTTGACGCAAATGAGTCAATATTGTGGGTAAGGTAACGTTAAACCATGCCGCTAATTCTTGGGTAGTTTGACTAGGATCGGCTTCCACCATCTCTCTTAAATCATCGTTATTCACCTGTTTGGGCGGTCTTTATTGTGGCTCGTTCTTCAAGTCGAAGTTTCCATCACGAAAGCGGTTAAACCAAAATCGCACGGTGCGTTAAATAGCAAACCCCTCTCCAAACGCAACATTGATATTGCGGGCTGTTTCTGCCGCGTTACTTCCGCGTCGGAACTCGTATTCAAAAATCACTAGAATTTTCGCAGTACCCATCTTTCTTGTCAAAGTTGAATAATAAAAACAATTGACCCTTACATTTAAACAAAAAATAATAAACAACTAGCAGATAAGGGTGTAATGCGGGTAGGCGCAATAAAAATAATTATTCAACTATAACTTTTAAATAGGTTCAAAAACCTACTCGATCTAGCACATTGTGTTTAAATCAAATATCTACATTAAAACATCGATCACAACCATTTATGAATATAAAGTTTATATTTACTTAATTATATTATAATCAATTTCAAAAAGTATAGCACGAAAAATCCCTTGGTGTTGTTTTTCACAGTCATTTAGATATTTAGCTTGATTTCGTGACACTAGATGGAACTTACTTTGAATGTATAATAATTCTATGCGTTAAGGGCTCGAGTCAGATTGCATTATTTATTATTGAGTTCGTGATTTTGGATTGTGTTATTAATCTGATCCAACTTTCATTTTTTTAAATAGATTTTAAGTTTAGTAGTTAATTTAGAAAATTGTATTGTTGATCGAAGTTTGGAACAAATAAAACACGTAATTAAGCATTTTTTTATATTTGAACAATTTTGCATTCATAATGCTATACTGAAAAATATTATTAAAGAATAATGCTTAAAATCCACTTTGTCCTTGGCACTCTGAGATGGGACTCGAACCCATGACCTTTCGCAATTCGGGTGACTGCTCTACTGAGCTACCCAGGACTAAGAATATGTTTCAGTATAGCATTGTGAATGCAAAATTGATCAAACATTATAATTAGAACAAATTTTCATCTTTATCGAAAGTTTAAATATTTGCAAAAATATGTCTTTTAGCTGTTTGGGTGGATTGCCTGTAAATTGATGAAAATACGCTCAGTAGTAGTGAAAAATCAAACATGTGCTTGAAAAATTCGTCAGTCCTGTTAGGTCCTAGAAAACTCAGTTGTTAGAGCATAGCGTATAGCGAAAGTTCATGAGTTCGAATCCCATCTCAGAGTGCTAGGGACAAAGTGGATTTTTAAAGCATTTTTACTAAGAATATGTTTTTTATATTTCATTAATCATAATTTTAAGTTTCCAGTTCCATTTTAAGATTGAGACCAAAAATTAAACAATACACAAATTTTATGCATGACCGAAGCCGAAAGACAGATTTGTTTAAAGGAATATTATTTTAAGTTAGTAATGAAAAGTTAAATTTGCCAATTGCACCATCACAATGAGATATGAAACACATCCGTTAATGATGACTACAGGCAAGTTCCAGTTAAGAGGAATCACTTTGAATACAGTGAAATGGAGGGGACGTAAGTCCAGATAATCTATGACTTTTCTTATCTCCATACATCGGACCCAATCTGAAAAGATGAAATAATCTTTTAAATTAAACTGAAAGTAATTATTTACGCTTACTCCTATTGAGCTTACTATATAATAAGAGCACTTTTAAGGCGAAAATTATATAGTGAGAAAAACATTCACAAATTCTCTACGTTCTTGTATTTTCATTTTGATTTGTTCCAATACAAAGGAATTTGGACAATATCTTGTAGTCAAAGTTAAAATTCTCTGTATTCGAATAGGTTCTTTTGAATAAGTCCTATTTTTTCCTTCCACTAATTCAGGACTTCTTTAGTTGTGAAAAGGAACAGGCAAATGAAACCCCACATCATGTCGGCATACACAGTTGTTAATGTTATAATAAACGTGACAATTACCCGTCTCCGTAAGCAATCTTTCATGTAGCACATGTTTGATTGTTTGGACCTGATCGGTAATAACTGCAGCACAAAATGCAGGAACAAAAATCACGACCAAATTTTTGCAACACCACATCAACGTTGCTAAAAGTGATGACATTGCCTGAAATGAGACTAGTGAGTGTTAAATTCGATTAATCCTGTATGCATAATGCTATATGGATATTTATCTTTAATGTGATCGTCAGAAGTAATAAGTTCTTAAAAAGAAAGCTCATGTATTTGGTCACAAAATGTTGTGTATTTGCCAGATAGTTTTCAATGATTTAGTCATTCCTATGAACTCTCAGAATTGAATTTGTACAACAAAAGCAAATGTAACAGGCACATTAACAAATAATAAATTAGCTCTAGTATAATAAATACCTCATCGGATCCTTTAGCGAAAAGCAATATTGTGGTAAATAGAATAGTCAACAACTCAGGTATATTGAACAGCAAAGATATTAAATACTGAAAAGAGAAATATCGAAATTTATTAGTATTAAGAATTATCTTTATTAAGAAACAGTCAAATTAAACTTGTGAAAATATAATTGATATTGTCAAATGAAAAACAACTTACGATGACATCCATAGGTCTCTTAGTATTTTCTGTTTGATCAGCTAACATTTTGTAGTTATTACAACATGCTATCACATTAGGACTGTCTTTTAGATAAGTAGCAAATTTTTTCAAACGTTGATAGACAGAATAAAATACAAGAGAATACACCATAAGTATAACGTCTGAAGCTAACACAACAGTAGCAATGGCCATAGAAATAAAAGCATTTTCGATACAAGAACCTAGCATAATATGGCAATAGATAATATAAATGATGAATCTATAAGCAATCATTGAAGACAGCGACAAGTAAAAAATCTTCTTGGTATTATAAATATTACTATCGACATTAATATTAGAATCGAATAAGTACAAAGTATTAAGATGTGCACTAAAAGAATTATTGCTGTCGGAAATCAACAAAATGAGGACATAAGAAAAGTACTGCAGACACAGAATCGTATACCAGAGCGAGTCATTGAAGTTCATTTGTTGCCATGAATATGTAATACAAACAACAACTGTACATGCACATAATAAAAGAGATATGGAATTTATTATAATCTTTTGTTTCAAAGACTTGTATGTTATAAAACCGAACTCTAGCGAAAACAATAACTTGAATAGCAGAAATATTATACAATTCTTTTCCATTATCTCCTCTTTGGTTGTTTTCTTGTTGTCAAGATTTCTTACAGGTCTCACTTTTATTCTATTCATTGAATTTATTTTCTTTATATTTAAGTTATTGATTTCGAGCGATGTAACCTCATCGACTAAGGTTTCTATAATAATGATCAATAAAAAAACCACTTTAATTTATCGAGCGGCATGATTAATGTTACATTTTCATATGCTTTTATTATAATTAAGTTTCTAATTCGATTAATGACTTACACGAAAGTATCTCTAAATATTCTGGAATTTGTAGAACGGGAATTTTCGAACTTTTAAAAAGTTAATTTTTAACATTATTTTAATATCTTTACAATTTAAGCAATTTCTAACTTGTCTGATGAGACACTGTTAATTGATTTGTATTATCTAATGCATCCTTCTCCTGGCTCCGGAGCTTTTCTTACAGGATCCCGGATTCTCCCTTCCTCCCAATGAGGATTTTTATTAAAATAGGTATTCTCCTTCTGAAGTCGTTGGTTTTCCTCATTGCTGGATATCATAATCCCCTCTGTGGAAAGACAGTTTTTTTTCTTACGACATCTCTCTATCCGCTCCTGTGCAACTAATGCGCATTTATATCCAACTAAATGGGAGAAATTCATTGCAATTCGTAATCGCTGCAATAGGGTATGTAGAAAAGCACAACGCCATTTCATCCACAACTCGGTAGAAAATGGAGACCCAGCAAGAGTCTGGAAGTTTCTAAACTCAATAGGGATTGGGAAATCTCGGCAAGCTTCTATCTCTGATGTCTTCGACATTAACTTATTAAATCAGCATTTCTCTTATTCGCCTCGCTTTGATGAGGCCATGAAAGCAAATACAATCAAATCTCTTTCATCTCTTTCCCGCCCTAATCACGAACCTTTCTTGTTTAATCAATTCTCTGAATGTGATGTTAAAAAGAGCGTCCTGTCAATTTCGTCTAATGCCGTGGGTAGTGACTGCGTCAGCCGGAAAATGTTAATTCCTATTTTAGATGAAATTCTTCCTGTGATCACTTATATATTTAATACTTCCATCTCAAATGGAGAATTTCCGTCTTCTTGGAAGGAAGCACAAGTTACTCCACTTCCCAAGAAATCCAATCCCTCCACAATTTCTGATTATCGCCCAATCTCTATTCTTCCATTCCTATCTAAAGTCCTTGAGCGCCTCGTTAGTGACCAACTTAGTATTTTCCTGAATAAGAACAAGCTCATGAATTCCTATCAATCTGGCTTCCGACCAGGTCACAGCACTACCACTGCCCTCATTAATATTACGGACGATATAAGACTAGGAATGGAAACTGGAACTCTTACAATTTTGTGTCTACTTGATTTTAGCAACGCTTTTAGCACAATTGATTTCGATGTTTTGATTAATATATTACGCTCTATTAACATATCTCCATCAGCGATTGATTGGTTTCGAAGTTACCTGTCTGGACGTCGGCAGCGGGTCCGCGTTGAGAATTCATTTTCTTCGTGGTGTAATATCACTGCCGGGGTGCCGCAGGGTGGCGTGTTATCTCCTCTTCTTTTTGCAGTATACATTAATTCTATTTCATGTCAATTAGTTTCTTCCTACCATCTCTATGCAGACGATTTGCAGATTTATTCTCAGGCTACTGTTGAAAATATTAATTCAGCCATCGATAATCTGAATAAGGACTTATATCAAATTTCTGAATGGAGCCGTAGTCATGGATTGCTGATAAATCCTAACAAAACCCAACTTATTATAATAGGCAGCTCTCGGGTTAGAGCAAAACTTAAGTATGATCAACTTCCACAAATTGTTTTTGCTGGAGTTAATTTACAGCTCAGTGATCAGGTTAGAAATTTGGGCATACAATTTGACAAAAACTTAAATTGGGATGTACAGCTCAAAGAATTGAGTCGCAAACTTTTTGCCACTGTTGGGTCTTTAAGAAGACTCCGCAATATTTTACCCACTGCTACTAAAATTGCGCTCACACATTCTCTTATGATGCCCATACTTGATTATGCAGATGTCAGCTATCTTGATCTTACAGAGATGCAACTAAACAAGCTTGAGCGACTTCAAAATGTTTGCATAAGATTTATATTTGGATTACGCAAATATGATCACATTTCTGAATTTCGTGGAAAACTCAAGTGGTTGCCTATTCGACTTCGCCGGAATGCACATATTTTAACGATGTTATTTAGCATACTTTTCAATCCCGTTACCCCTTCTTATTTAAAGGATCGCTTCAAATTTACCAAAGATTCTCATTCTCGCCTCTTGAGATCATCAGAAAATTTGCAATTGGATATGCCGATGCATTGTACTATCTTCTACGATAAGTCTTTTACAGTCCAAGCCGTGCGCTTGTGGAATGCATTACCTGTATCGATTAGGAAAGCTAAGTCCATTAATATCTTTAAGGAACTCGTGAAACAACATTATTTGTCCATATAACCATGCAGTTCATATGTATTTATATGAGTACGTATGGTATGTATGTATGTATGTATGTATGTAGGTATGAGTGTATGTATGTATGTGTGTATGTATGTATGTATATATATTTGTATATAGTATGTATATGTATGAAGTATTTATGCTTATATTGTTTTTCATCCTACACAGGATATATGTATATACACCGTCCACTACCCCATTATTATTAGCTCATTTATGATTTAACTCCATCCCAAGGTTGCCTGGAAGAGATCACTTTTAGTGATAAGGCCGCCATTTGTACGTCTCCTTTTGAAAATTGAAATTGTAAGTGTTATGTGTGTGTACAATAAAGTATATTCTATCTATCTATCTATCTAAATGGCCTCCTAATGCAATCAATCGCATAATCGGGATCTTTTCTGCATAATCTGTCGCATGGGACAACCATTGAGTATGATTGTCGTATGTTTTCAAAGCGGTTGGCAATAACATCGGGTTTAAATAAAATATGTATCAAAATTAGTCATCTTATCATATTATATTACCCAGATAACGCTTACTATTTGAAAAAGATTACCTCGGCTCCTGAGGGTAGGAAGAAAAAGCCGTTAAGCGCAGCTTCTTCTTTTGCAGAGGTAAGCCTCGCCTAGGTTCCAGGAATCCTTGCAATCTAACTCCTCGCGTCTGAACGAACCCGCTATAAAGCAGATTGCTTTGCCCAGTGCGTGGAATATGGGCTCATATGGGACCCATGTCGTGCCCTACTTGCGCGTGAGGGATATCTCTGAGTTTTAGTGGGTATATCCCGTTTTTTGACCAGCCCCCCCGTTGGGATTGGTCCGCAGGGGAGAGTCCTACAAACCTGTGGAGCTCGCGCAGGGTGAAGCGGGTATGCGTAACGCATTTCTCAGCGTCAAAAAAAACGATTGCTTTATAATAATAATATCTATATTTGCAATAAATAGGGTAATATATACAGTGATGATATTTAAGTTAAAGAGCTTTGACCTATTTAGCCATCTTGAACAGCATGCAAAAAAAAAATTGATGTAACTTAAAATATTTCATAATTACGTAAAATTGTGTCAAATTTAACAATATTAGCATTTAATCCAAATATTACAATTGTGTCAAAACATTGTCAATTTAATTAGTTATTAATCATGTCAATTTTATCAATTTGTACAAAAAAGTAAAATAATTAAAAAATGTATAAGATGTCAAATTGAAATATTAAACTTATTGAACATGTCATGGTATTTAGTTTAATAAACATAAGTATGTCAGATGCAATTTTGTAAAATTATTTATGAAACTTTGTATCGACTATCATGCTTATAAATTAATTACTGATAAACTATCCTTCGTTAAGGAATTCACCAATCGAGTAAAAAGCTTTTTCAATCAGCCATCTACGCAATAATATTTTAAAACGAGTAGCCGGCAAATCTTTTATATCATTGGGTATTTTATTAAAGACAGTTTTACACAAAAAGTGACTATTTTTTATTTTTTTTACCAGGTCTACGCATTTGTTACGCAAGGCTACGCTTAACGCATGCGTTTGCTTCTCTTTTGTTCTAAAATAAAAATTAATATCAGATTCCGTTAAAATCAAATTTTATGGAAATACCTCAGTGGTCACAAATTAAAAGCGAATTTTGAAAATCGGTTAACGGTTCGTGGAGAAATCGGTGAATACAAACACAAATACACGTCGAACATAGAATCTTTTTTTAATGTCATTTATTTATATTATTTATTTATATATTAATAAAATCGATTATTTCAAATAAAGCAAAACCGTTTCTTGGAGTTGCCTCTCCCCACAATCATTTTGATATTTACGATCATTTCTTAACACTTGGTGGTATTTTTTAAAATTAGTACTCATGTTTTTACGGCCGTCTTTACAAAAGTTAGCCGAGCTCCTAACAATTAGTAGCTTGTTATTCCTTTATTACTCTTACATCCAGGTCTATTTATTTATTAATACCAACAAGATTTATATTAACTTGTTCACATAACTAGATATTAAAGGTAATCATTATAAATGCAATGTTAATTACAGGAGCTACACATTAGAAATAAAATAATAAATCATTCACAAAGAAAATTAATTTCCAATAGAAAATTAATTTTGTGTTTAAAATTGCAGAAATACAGTTGGGATTATATTTAAATTACACATAAATTCAAATATAATTATTTAGATTGAATAATTAATAATTATACGTCATTGTTTCAAAATTCACTGCG